GGAAAGTGCGGTATACGGGGAATAGGAGTTTGACGAATTTCTAGGGAGCGACATTCAAAATATTCTTTCCGCGACGGGTAAAAGAGCAGAAGGACTTTGGGAAGGGGAAGGAATTAATGCGACACTGTACTCGCTATTTTACACTGTTGCCGCCACCGCCGCCGCCGCCGCCGCCGCCGCTGTCATTGCCTATTACTATTTATTGCAGTGTCCAAATAAAAGAAATAAGAATCCGAGTCTGAAGTCCATCGCTATCTCGATGTTGCGCGACGAGGAAAAGAGTAAGGAAGGTGCTCTTGTGTACGTGTCTTTCGAGCTTCGCCCTCGAGACCCCCGTCACGTGACACTGGTATCGTCTAAAATTTTCTCGGCGAGAGATAAATAACGAGATGGTCTCGAGGTGATTCGTAAGCCCGCAAACTCGGCGACAACCGCGCTCTTATTTTTTCCAGTCACGACGCTGACTCTAATGCCGATAACCCTTTATGACAACGAGACGGCAGGATATTTTCTATAATACGCGATTTTTGAAAAGCATCCGCGAACGACATAACTTTCTTATGCATGTGTATATAAGGAGCATTGGCGTATGTACTTTATTTTTGTTCGTTAAAGAGTAGGTTATCGAGTGCATACCCCCACCGGACTAATAATTCTAACGCACTGATCGATGTAATCGGCCAATTGATATGAGGTGCGCGCGCGTACTCGAGGAGAAAATACATTTCGCAGGGACTAGTTTTTTTTTATATTTTCCTATAAACGCGTCCGATTTCTCGTAGAGACGGGTCGTCTAGATAGGGCATGGGAGCCGTGCGTGGTGGGGCGTAGCGTGGCGTAACGAGGCGGGGCGGGGGGCATCTATACTCGGTTTCCCTACTCCTCAATGGCATTTGGTATTAAAAGCGTCTATTGACTATTGTTAATCGTTTCGAGCAGCCTACATTAACCGAGCACTCTATTATCTTGTATCGCTTTAACGAGAGTCCAATTTTACATCTTACGGAGAAAGAGTGTTAACTCCCTTCCCACCCCAACTCGGTTGTACAGCGACGGAATGAAAATTAGTTCGCGTATGGTGCGCGTCGTGCTCGAGAGAGGGTCTCGGCCAAGCCGGACTACTTGCCTAGGCCTAAACAAAGCGTCGTACACATTAACTTCACGTCAATTTCGCATTTCAATTTCTCGCACCACGAACTGACAATGCGAGGTAGCACTCCGCTTTTAGGGAAAATAAATAATGATAAGTTCGAAAATGCGGTGATGCTTATCGATCGCATGACATTGATCGTGCCCTTAAAACCAATGTAAATACTTTGGAAAGAAATGTTGTGAGAGAAATGAAGGGAGGAAGCTTTCAAATGCAAAAACTTTTATTCTTTAGTAAATCGCATGCAATTATCATTTACGTTAAATAATAAATGTTCGTTTCTGTGAAGTATTACATGTGTTTGAAAGATAGTTAACAATATGGTTTTTGCGATACTTATTGCTAAAATAAAGAAGAATGAAGAACGATCGTTCGACATTATTTAAGATACTTTGCATAAATTAAATATTCGATCACGCTCTCGCAAATTTACCTAAATTCTCAAATTATACGTTCACTTTGATCATTCATAATTATTCCGTCGATAATTACTTTTTCGAATATATGATAAAGAACAAAAAAAAAAAACAAAAAACAAAAAACAAAAACAAAAACAAATAAACAAAGAAACAAAGAAACAAAGAAACAAAGAAAACCAAAAACAACAACATCAACAATAACCCATCGTTCCGTACCGTTAGATCAATAAAATAGTATCATGAGCTTCCTGCAACATTCCGAGAAAAAAAGGGTTTAAGAAACGAGTTAAAAAATTGAAGAGTCGTGACATGCTACGTTGAAAAGATGAAAAATTCAAACGACAAATAAGCAAAAGAATTCGAATGAAAAGTATAATAAATGTCTCGAAGTTTATGATAAAAAAAAAAGAAAAAAAATTGTAAAAAATATAATCCATTGCAGTCGGATGGAAATCAGGTCAATACTTATGTACGTGTCATATTTTAAATGTGAAGAAATACTAGGCGGACGGGAAAGAAAGGAAATATTAAGTCGCGAGTTGAAGAATATAAGATTTTACGTATTAAGCGTACGAAAAATATAAATAATATTAGAGCATACGTCACTCGTCAGCGTCACCGACAAAATTCTTATAAAGTTTTAAAGCACAATTACCAACACACATCAAGCAATCGCCTATAGTCAATCTTATACGAGTATTATTTTTTCGGATAT